GACCTCAGTAAACTCACGTCACACTAGAATTTTAGTGTCTCAGACTGTGCTCAGGTTTGCCAAATGGTAAACTCTGAAATCCTAAGTCAGAGATTTCAATGAAAAAAAAAAAAAAGCATTTATTGTAATGTCCAGAACCAATACTTATCTTGTAGTATTAAAGTAGTATGTATCTGCTACTACATTCATTGGATTTATGAAATAATTGTATTTCAACAATGGACTCATTTGTTCTCATTGTGGAAATTGTAGGAAAAACGTGTGACAAAGTTAAATAAATGAAACATAAATGAGAACTACTTTGTCTTCTGAGCTATGAATGAATAAATAAATAAAATTACTAAAACTAAACCTTAAATAGAAATATAATATATATATATACATGACAAAAATAAAAACATAAAATTACTAAAACTAAAATAGAAAAGTACTACAATAGTATAATAATAACACTAAAACAACACTGGTTCAGACTATATTAGATAGTATACTTATAAATTTTGATCATTAAAATTAATAATTTGAAATTAAAATATGAATTGGTATTAAACAATTTTATTAAAAAATTGAATTACGTAATTAAATAAATGTGGTTGTTAAAAGCCCAGAAAGTGTTCAAATTTTAGATTTTACAAATAAATAAATAAATAAATAAAATTATAAAATAAAATCGTATGCATTCTAAAATTAGAAGTTTAAAAGTTTAAAAAAGAAAAGTATAAAAGAGAATGATATTATGGAGTCATATATCTGATTCACAAACTAATCAGATCTTCCCCTTAAATCTACACCCACTAATTCTACTGAGTATCACTCCAGAGAACAAAACTAATTAAAGCAAACATCCCCCACTCTGCCCTTCATAAGCATCTTTGTCTTTCCCTTATTCAGGCCACCAATTTTCAGCCAGCTATCATATCTCATTATCTCAATCCCTGACAAGCCATTCTCTTGACTATAAGTTAAAGTTATAAAAAGGAATGACAGCAAATAATGTAACAGTTCTGAACAGATTTTGTTTCCTTTGATCTTATATGTGTTATAGTAGTGAGCTATGCTACTATGTAGGTGCTAAAATGTCAAAATGTGTTATATCTTGAAAAAAAAAAAAGACAGATGCTGGGACATTTTTATTTATTTATTTATTATTAGTATTATATATATATATTTTTTATATAAATTTGATTCTGTAAAGTTCATTTAAAATTAATGTATGAATGTTGGTTTATATTTGATTGTGATCCTTCTGATTGCTTATACAGTGTGTGCTGTTAATTAATTTGGACAGTGAGATACTTGACAGCTATTCAAATGTTTTACAATCAGTCATAAGATGCCAAACATCACGTCAATTTAATAGGTTTCCAGAAATAAAAATGGAAATAATATTAAGAATAAAAATCACATATGAATGAAACAAAGTTTTCATAGTTGTGAGCATATGAGACAAATGAGAGACAAGGTGCACCAGTATCCTTTCTGAAAATATCACTGGATATGTTATATGCAAAATGTATAAGAAATTAAGGTATTGAGATATTGTTTGATTAAATAATTACCACATTTATTTCAATTTCAAATTTAATATTTGAATGTAAGAATTGTTTTTATTTTCATACTCAGTATATGCACTTTCAGGTTCATGTCTGTTTATTTGGCCTTATGTCCATTTATACTTTTGCTTGTTGCAAATTGGAACTTTGTGACAAAAAATTTGAGATTGCTTAAGCAGCCTCAATGTTTATTGGGTTTCATATAGGACTGGGTATTGGCACAATGCCACATTTTGATTTGATTCTGATTCACAAGCTCTTGATTTGTAACTCGTGCCATACAACATTAAAGGTACATTTTCTTAAAAAAAAAAGATTAAAATATTGATTATTGTAGTTTAGGAATTGATATTGGATTAATCAGTAAAGGATATTTTTACCAAGCAATGCATTACAAAAAAAAAAGAGGAAGTTTTGTTAGATGTAACTTAAGCATTTGAAAAAAAAAACAGTGTGCATTTAAAAATTTCTATACCTCACCTTCCACCTCTTATAGAGAATCAATACCCATAATACATACCACAAACCCTAATGTCCAGTGGTATGAGTTTCATATTGCTGCTTGACAGGACAAATGGGGAATGGAGGGAGAAAGCAAGAGAAGTTGAGTGAGAGAAAGAGAGAGGAGAGTGATGTCTAACTATATCTACTCTCTGTAACAGGACTCCATGTCTGGTTCAGAACAGCCTGTGACATCAGCATATCATTAACATACTTCAGTGCCGGCAGCTCTTACTGTTGGATTAAACCAAAGTCTCTTTAAGGCCAGTCAGTCCAGCTGGTGGCCAGAGGGCTGCTATTTTGTAGTCATGCAAGTAAACTCTGTAAACTTTGATTACAATTTGTCCATTTTATTTCTGTATACTCGTAAGTACTATGTTCTTTATACTATCTGTGATTAAAATCTTTACATGTTAAACAGTCTTTAAATGGTAATTTTAATTCATGAATTGCTGCTATGAAAATCCAAAATCCCTGCTATGAATGTTCACACACAGACTGTGGGCATAAGTAAACAAGTTCAAGAATTGACTGCAACAAATGTTTAATGAAAAGCAGCCAAAGCTGCTCGAAAAATGGCTAAATGTCGCTAGATGATGTCATGTGCTAATGAGCATGTTCATGACGTCATCATTACATAATTGCATACTGCCTAGAGTCAGCTCTTTACATCTGTGCTCACATACTGTATTTTAATACATCCAAATTCCCAATAAAGCTGTTCTCATTTTCATATGTTTCTCTTTTTGTGGAATAAGTATGACATAGTGACTGAAATGCAACCTATTATGACTGTTACTTCCAAGTTGCATTTATGCACTGCTAAAGTCATGATTTATAACCACAACATTGCCTGACTTGTTTGTATCCCATACATTTATTAAATGCACAGCACAGCCTTCATATTATATTCTCTTCTAAGGGAAGAAGCTAAAGAGAGTTGCTAGATTCGTTGTGTGTGCTTTTTTGAAAAAAGTCCCTAAAAGGGGTATGAAAGGTCACTCAATCTAGCAGCTGTTGAGAAGTTGGCAACACTGACAGCAATTACCAATAAGTAAGATGCTTTCCTTGTAATCAAGTGGGTCCTGTACTGTCATTTAGTAATGTTGCTAATTTTCAGTGATGATAAAGGGTCTGCTCAGGGTTGCAGACGTGAGCTCCTAATCATTTGTCCTAATCACTCTGAGGTGTGAGGGACTAGTGACCGTAAAGGAGATACCACAACTGCTGTTCACCCGCTCTGCATGCCATGACATTACACACGTGTGCTCTTGGACTATTTATAGAGCCTTACTCTTATCCACTTGTTTATTTTCCTACAGATTGCACAGGACAAACTGTGTTGACATTTAATTTAATTTAATTAGAAATATGAGTGAATACAAGCAATGTCCATTTGGTACTATTAGAAATCTGCATTGTACTTTTTTTTGTGACATTTTCACCATTTAACTTCTCTGTCTTTCAAGATCTTCCAGCCCTCTGCGTATTCCCTTGCCACCGAAAAGTCTCCGTGCATAATCATTGTCAAAGCTGATTTGTTTCACCCTGACAAGTAAGTAAATCCTCTTCTTTCACAGGACTGATGAAGTATCAATTATTTTGTTTCATAAGTGTTTTGTGTTAAATTTTGTAGGCTTTTAAACAATGTTTTTTTTTTCCTTCTTACAGGCATGGATCTGATGAATTCTAATGATATATGAATTATATGGGCAATATATGGGTTATTTATATTGCAATTAACCTCCCATTCTATCAATTGCAGGCACACCGACAGGAAAAATTGTAATCGAACCACCAGCAAAACTGTGTCGTTTGTCAGGATTATAATTCTCCCCTAAGTGGTGCACCTTCTAATAACCTGACGAATGTGCCACAAACCTATAACAATATATCATACCTCACAGAGTCCCTCTGCAGAGGATGCATATTAACCATCTGAGTTCATGCTATGAAGGAGAGAGTGAAAATGACCTAGTTTAATGGCCTTTAATTCACCTTCACAAGCAGTAAAGGGAAAAGGGGAGGGGGATTTGCTTGGAAGAATAGGGTCCACCTGCTCATAGGAATTAATGTAATTCAGTGGCGAAATTCAGTGAGCTCAGCATACTGTTGTGCAGTGTGATTCAAGACTCGCACAGCGCAATACATCATAAAGACACTCTAAAGCAGAAAGCCACACGTCCCACAAACATCCTGCAGCTGAGGTAAAGTGAATGTCTTTTACAGTGAGATCATCAGATTTTGATATTTGATGAAGTGCAGAAAAGAAAAATATGGAGAAGGTTTTTCATGGATGTAACCAAAATGTTCAAGATTTGGGGTACCATATGTACAAGAAGTACAAGTATCAGACATTGGAAAAAACCCTTATCAACTGCTCGCTAATATGAAAATTGGTGAGGACGTGTTCCCCCTCAAACTCTATTTGGTTACGCCCCGATTTTTAAGAGTACAATGGACATGCACGGCTGGAAGGACAATTGAAAAGAAAAGGCAAATCACCAGAGAATATTAGTCACTTAATGAGATCAATTTAATACGTTGGAGGTGAAAATGTTCAATATGAACTTTGATAGACCAAATTGCACAAGTGTGACTAATGATCACCATCAGTATCGGCCAATTTAAAATGTCTGATGCCAACATGATCATGTCCACTTGATATGTACCAAGTACTGACACTTTGAGAAGGATCCTGATCCTCCCAGTCTGTAGCTTCTTGAGACTTAGAAACTTGAGATGTTTCAAACAAATCAACCTCCACAAACAGCAACAAGTATAACCCGGCTTGTTTGGTCCTCTCGACTTGTGCAAGCCATGCACAAACTGCAGCATTTTGGCAGCCACCCCACTAGGAAAGCGCAGGACGGTGGGCTCAGGAGTAAACAGCTAGAGAGAGGGACAAGGTAGGTATAGTAGGGGGAATGATTGCAAGAGACTTACCAATCAGAAGTGTGACGACCAGACCGGCGTGGACTACATCGCCGGACCGCGCACACCTGTGCAAGAATGATCTTCTATCTTGCAACCCCATGTCAGTCCGTCTGCCCACTTGTGCCTGTCTGTCTGTCCCTGGTCAAGTCCTCCGCTGTACGTCTTGGGTGGGATACTGTAGGTCTGAGGGGCCACAGGGGACCCGACAAAAAATCAAAACAGAAAGACAAGACTTTAAGTTGTGGAAGTCTTGCAGAGTATCTCCCTGCCCTTGATCGTCCTGTGCGGTGTGTCCCGGTAAGGGAGAGAGAGGGAATTAGAGAGCAAGGAATACTGAGGCAGCACCTGATCCGTTGCTTGATCTTCAGATCAGTGGCTCTCAGTTGCCGGCAGTGTCTCACTGATACTTTTTCTCATTCACCGTGGTTGTAGACGCAGGAAACGTTGCGTTCATTCAGCAGCAGCTGCAGTGCAGAGCTCCACTTTCAGTCTAGGGAAGAGACTGTCTGTCTTACCCCTGAATAGGTGCCGCATGCTGGAATGAGTGGGCAGAGGAGGGGTGGAGGCGGGGGGTGGTGTGTCTGTAGCCTGTGCAGGAAAGAATGAGCCACTGCAGAGGCATGGGACGAGTGAGAGGGAGCGAGAGAAAGACGGAGAGAAATAAGGGAGGGCGGGAGAGTGTATGAGGTGGGGATGGGTGTATGATGGGGGGGGGGGATGTTGTCTTTTAGACTAATCACATCTGTGGAGATCATAAAACCTTGAGTGTGTCCATTTATAGCCTGTGCCTGTGAGCATAGGATTGTTTATTTCTGCCCATATCTGTTTCAGTATCGGTGTACGCTTGTATGATTTCTTCAGTTCGGTCTGTTCTGTTCTCATTATTTTACATTTACTGCTGCCTTCTGTGTTTTGCCTTCCCTACTTTTTCTTTCTAAGTTATCCCCACAAAAATATTTTATTGCTCAGAAGTTGCTCTTTCACATCTCAGGAGCAAGGTCAGAAATTAAACATGACGCAGGGCAAAAACTGCACTTACAGTGGCAAAAACGTCCCAGATATTTAAAATGTGGGGTCCCTGTAATAAATTCCAGTTGATTTAACTGTTATATATAATTTTATATATTTCAGTTTTCATTTTCAAGTTGTGTTTTAAGTCTTCCTGTAGGTAAAGTACAGGGGTCTCATATTTTCCAACAAATACAAGTCACAAAAAATATAAGTGCTTTAAAAAAACAGCTATGTGACTTAAATCACAGTCAGCCTTTGTAATTATGAATTATTTACAATTTAAGAAATGTCTAGATTTTTTTTAAAGAAAGGAAAGAAAGACAAAAATACTGGTTAAAATATTTTGCACTGTAAATATATTAAGACTAAAATATAGTGTACTTTATTATTATTATCATTATTATTATTATTATTATTATTATGTTTGTGAATAAAACATTTTATTATATTTTTTATATTTTTATATTTCAATCATAATATAAAAATTAAATAATTTGATTTTCAAAATAATAAATAAATAAATTTATTAATTAATTAATGAATTAATTGATAAATTAATTTTATTATTATTATTATTATTATTATTATTATTATGTTTGTGAATAAAACATTTTATTATATTTTTATTAACACTGTATTTCAATCATAATATAAAAATTAAATAATTTGATTTTCAAAATAATAAATAAATAAATTTATTAATTAATTAATGAATTAATTGATAAATTAATTAATTAATTAATTAATACAATTAGAAACGGAATACCCGTGAACATAGGGCATGTAGACAAGATCTATTCCTGAGATTGCTTCTTACTCCCTATTTAGTGCACTATGTGACATTCATTACACAGGGAATAGTGATTGATTGGACAAGTGTGCAATTTGGGCCAGCAATGGTGTCACTGGGGGTGGGGGGTGTCCAGGGGGAAAATATTGTCCCTTTAATAAAGAGGTTAATTTCTGACAATTCTCAGGAGTGTTTGCCTCCAATGTTGCTCCTAGAATTCCATCAGTGAAATTAAAATAGACTCAAATTGTCATTATAAAGTAATAATAACGAGCTAGCAAATTAACAGCGATAACATAACCCAGATAATCTTTGGTATCTTGGCAAATCTGAGTATAGTTTGAGACATTCTTGAGACCTCCTTTGAAACTCTGAAGGAGACACATGCAATTTCCCCCCCCCCATGGAGACGCAGGACACAAGCAAAAGTCTTAATTTAATCTCATTGCTATCTAGGAAAAATAATTATATAAAAAAGCCAGCCACCCACCCACCCTCCTATGAATATCTACCTCTTTCTGTCCGTTTCTCTATTTGGAGCTTTGCCAGGCCTTGAGTAAAACCAACCACAAACCACCCTGCATGACTGGATCAATGATTAAGGTTCCAGGAAGAGAAGCTGGATCAAACACCGCCTAGCTTGCCTGAAATACTAAATATGCATGATAAATGAAGTAATGGACACTTGTGAGTCCTGTAGTATCCCAGCTGAGCTCATTCAGGATATCAAATATATTATGTGCATAATTTATGATGCCGTTTTATTTTCTGTAGTAATGCATCCAGACGGTTTTGTTTTCCATAGTGGCCATTTTAGGTTGGTAAACAAATGACTGGCTGTTTGCTCAAACCTTCCCTCTCTCTATGACACTATTTATATCCTGGCCCCCATGATATTACGTTAGATTCAACACAAAATGAAATTTATGAATATTATTTAATAACTATTTATTAAAGAATATCATTAAATACCATAAATATAAAAACATTATTAAAATAAAATAAAATAATAATAATCATAAAAAAAATATTTATTTATTTATTTATTTATTTCTAGCACTAGATTTATCTATTAGGTCAATATAGCTATTGTTTATTTTAGCTCAAAAATGATTGCATTTCCCTATTAAATTTATATCCTTTTTTTATCAAGCATACCACAAGCTCCATACTTTAGATATATTACAAGCCCAAGAAAATGTCGAGTTAAGCATTCTGTAGCCTCAGCTTCAGACAACACATGCTCACAGACTGCAGTCTTTCCATTGACCGTCCCATGCACACAGTACACAAACATGGCAAAAACTGGCGGAAAACTCTAGCTCTGATTGGCTGAATGCTCCATGCACATTATGTTATAAAAGTACTTAAATGTTTGTAATTTTGGTGCCATTAAATCTTTGAAAGATACAAATGCTTGAGGCGCTAGGTATCAATAATTCTAGATATTTATGAGCAAAACTGTATATTGCTCATTGTTTTGAGTTAGATCTGTAAAATATAGGCACTTATTCCATTACATCATTTTTAATACAATTTCAGTTTCTATTTCGCCATTGTTAAAGGTTGCATAAAACATAATGACCTGTGGTTGGTAGCTTTACTTGTCATTCAGAAGTCTTCCTATTGTAGTTGGTGGTTCTTGTCCAGAACTTCCTCTGCAAAGTGGAACAGACTTCATTCTGCTAAAAAGCCTGGCTCTGTGAGTCTAAGCAATCTGAAACGCGCAATCCCATGGATTATTTGATTATTTGTGTCTCATCTCCCCAGAATTGTAATAATTGGATTGAACAGTATATGAGCCAGCAGTGCAGCTGTTAAAGGGAAAGCTTAATACATGGGGAAGTGGTCTGGGACCCTTGTGGTCAGGGTTTTATAGACTATGATACTTGGCTAGTCAATCACTTTGGCCATTCAAGACATATGTGGCTTATCTAGACAACAACATAACAGTTATGACTCACCTGTCAAATTAATATGGCATACTATAGCCAAAAATGATAGGTTATCCTAGAATTTCTCTCTTACCACTGCATATTTCACATACTGCTTTTCTCATACTATATAGTAGGTAAGTGTACATGTATCGGGTTGGTTTATTTTATTGTCTGGAAAAAGTAAGTATATGATTTGTTTCTGATGACTGTGATTAAATCGTTAGGCCTGATCGTGGGGAACATTTGCTGATGAACAGCACCCGTCGTGATGCAGATGTGATACCAAAAAGAGATAGCAGCTGTTTCACAGACATATGATCCAAACAGAGACACACACACACACACACACACACACACACACAGATATCTGACTGACAGAATGTCATCCTGTGTGGGCCGTTGTGATTTATAGGATAGCACTCGACATCAACCCCCTGTGGTCACACACTTATACACTCACAATCAGGACAATGTGACCTTGGGAGTCCATATAACAGCATATGTGTGTGTGCGTCTGCAAGGGTGGAATGTGAGAGAGAGAGAGAGAGAGAGAGAGAGCAATTCCCATAATGCAATCTACTGTATAGAACCAGTAAGAACGAGAGAGAGATAGAGGAGGAGAAGAGCGATGGAGGGTGAAGATGAAGAATGGAGGAAGGCATTAACAAAACAGAGTTTGGGACACTTCGGAGCAAGAAACACAATCACTGGCTTTGGATTGAGATTGACCACGTAATAGTGAAGCAAAATAGAAGAATATTTCATTAACATGACCTTGATATGGATGGATTTCATCTGGAAGTCACACACGGGACGCTATGCATCAAATTAATGATATGCAAGTACTGGAACGCATGAAATGTTGTCAAATGAAAAACAAACAGTAATTGCGTAGATGCTGGACTCCCCCTGAACTGCGCCAGTGAGGGGAGCATGATGTTGCAAAACTTAGCCAGAAGGGAAAGGCAGAGAGGAATGGAGGGGAGGGGTGGAGGAAGAGGAGGAGAGGTGTAGAGGACAGCAGGAGGAGGGAGAAAGCGAGCCGGAGAGGTAGAGAGTGAGAGTCTCTGCATTTCAAGTGCTTAACAGTGACCTTAGAATCTCCCTCTGTGTGTTTCACTCTCTGGCTCTCTCTCACTCTGCATTAAAGTACAATGCTGCAGTTCTTCAGAGATGTATCGTCCCGGGAACAACTACAAGAGTGTCTGCAGGAGGATGCAGCCCTCCCTACATCTGTTTCTCTCTTCTTCCCTCTTTTTCTACAACTTTCTGATGTGTGCACGGTGAAAAGTGACACTGAGGCCTGAGAGCGGAGGAGAAGTGAGCAGGACGGGCTTCACAGGACGGGTTTGCCCTTTAAAAAGAGTGAAGATTATTCTTTCATAACTGGGTAAGTAAAGCAGTAATTTTATCATGCTATAATTTGAATGTATGCATCTGAATCTCTTTAAACTCACTCCACTTACATATTGTCTGTGTACATTTATTTCAGTCTATGTTACCATATTATTTATCTTTAAGAAGCAACTTGTACCTGATCTGACACTTAAAAATTACTTTCTGCATTTACGTTTTACTTCATGGTTGTCAGGTTGATTCAGTGATGTTACATTAAATCAGCTAATTTACATTACCACATGAAGCACATTATTATTATTTATGTGTAGAAAATGCTGAAGAGAAGAGGCACTTAACAATTCATTACACTTACAAGATTTAACTCGTACAATTAATGGGGAAATTTGGCAATACAAAAAAGCTTGCCAGCATGATCGATGAAAAAAACACCATTTGAGGATTGTCTACACTGAAATAAATGGTTTAATTCAAGTCAAAAATATTATTTAACATCACTGAATCAAGTTCAGGGTTGAATCAAATAAAAATAGCTCTTAAAGGTAACAATTGCAGGTTACCACTTGCAATGTGTGCTGTACTTAAACTTAAGCAAATATTATGTGTTACGCCTTCGTTTGTTTATTTATTGAATAGCACATTTTTCAAGTATTTGTAGAGTAAATATCCTTTTAATATATTTATAACAAAATTAAAACACATAATTGTGAGATTACTCAAATCTGTGCACACATAATGCCTGCCCTTTTCCAAATGTAGCACATCAGAATCAAAATAGGTTACACTCTAGGTAAGACTTTTCTTACGATTAATTTGACTCTGCAATTCCTGGATGAATTTACATAAAATAAATAATAATAATAATAATAAAAACGTATCTGAGGACAGAATTATACAAATTATTATGAAATATGAATTTGTGTATCCTAGATCTAATTGTAGCAAGATTGATCAGCTGAAGGGTTTTTGTTTACTCACTGTAGTAGCAGTGCATTAAAATCATAAAAAAACAACAAGTTTTATTAGTACCGATCAAGAGATTCACAACTCAAATGGTCTGTTTAACTGAATGACTAGTGCTCATCTGTTTGCAGATTATCAGACCACCTGATTTGTATTATTTTGAACTTTAAGTAGTCGTGTCTGGCTGATTTTGCCACTTTGATAAATAGCTATATATGCATGCATGAGTCACCTTCACTTTTGCCTGTGTAGCAATTTTCTCCAGCAGTAGCTGGTGTTGATCACACTGCAGAGATGCTGCTGCCCCCTCAACCCCCTCTGTCAGCTTTTCTCTGTAGAACCTATTTAAAACACCTGCCCTGCCTACCTGCTCCAAATGTACATCTTCTGCACATTGCCAAGCACTAACATTTGTTAGTAAATATGAATATTTTCATGCAATAATTCCAATAGTATTTTGTTCAATATTACAATAATAATATTGTATCCACTTTCATAGAGGTCAACTAATATTAATTTAAATATTTTATATTTATTTTAAAGGAATGGTCATCTTCATTTGTTTTCCACAGAAGTCATCGGAAAGTCATAGGTTTTAAACGCCATGAGGGTGAGTAAATGAATACATCTTTGAGGGAACTATCTATTTGAATATTTAGGAATACTTTCAGTTAATTCAATATTTTTAGTGAAAGGTTTAAAAAGAGACGGGAACAAACTGCTTTGTTTCTTTGTTTTTATTAAAAAAAAAAAAAACAAGCAGTGGTGCAGCTTATAGTTATGGTGCAGTGCAAGCATATGTATTTAAAGTAGGCCAGAGTCAGACCTTCAGCGAGACACTAAAACCGAGGCATGCATGATTGAAAAACAGGCAAAAAAAAGACTGGTCCCCAAACCATTCCAATCAACGTTGCTGGACTGCTTTTATTGATTATGCCCATAGAAATGTTATGTTTGTATGATCTTGGTGTAGAAATAAATAGGCGGATGCATTAAAAAAAAACAAAAAAAAAAAACATCAAGGCTGTACAATCGAAAATATGGTATCATGGTTACATCATATAAGTGATAAAATTGACCTTCAATATAATATCAGGCTTCTGACAGTTCAAAATTATATTTAATGACCCAGTACCATGCCTATTATTAAATAGGAATACATGTAAACAAGTAACTAGGATATCGTTGTCTAATTCTAATAGAAGATAATCAGGGATTTAGAGTAGTGTTTCCTGGCAATTCAACCTATGAATGGCAAGCACTAAAGCACTAAAGCACTAGCCATAAAATCATTGTGCCACAGTCTGAATTTCACAAACTGGCTTAATGTTAACTGCTGTGCAGCAAATCAAATTATGAGCTTAATGGTTTTGTTATATCCTTTTGGAGACTTTTTTACATTTTGTGGATGTGGTTCTGATGTTGCTCACATTATGCAAATATCTACTCTTAATGCAAAAATAGTGGTTAAAATACAGTATAATTCACAATGTACATGTGTACGTGAACAAAGTAACTGAGTGTCATTGAATGCATGATTATCATTGAACTAATTTCATTGATTATCATTGAATACATAGCAATACCAGTTAACAGTTATGAACATGTAAATCTCAGATTTGGTTCATAATACAATAAAGCAAAACTTAATTAAACATTGATAATAACAGGAAGAAGATGATGATGAAGAAGAAGAAGAAGAAGAAGAAGAAGAAGAAGAAGAAGAAGAAGAAGAATGAATACACTGAGTGTTTCACTATCAAAATGGATTCCCAACAAAGTCAGTATGAAAACTCATTTCCTCTGCATACATACATGCATATAGATTTTTTTTTTAATCCTTCAATCAAAGGTGCATTGAAGAAGAAGAAGAATGAATAATACATTCCCTTCACAATCACTGAGTGTTTCACTATCAAAATGGATTCCCAACAAAGTCAGTATGAAAACTCATTTCCTCTGCATACATACATGCATATAGATTTTTTTTTTAATCCTTCAATCAAAGGTGCATTCACTTAATCCAGTAGGTTTCATTTGCTTATTATTCAATTTAAAACCCTTTTAGCCTCTTTCTGAACATATTATATAATTACGTGTGAAATTTGATTATGAGGCTAATAAGAAGTGTTATATATTCAATACTGACTAAAAATGTATTTCACAGCTTATACATTCAAGAAGATACTCATGTAAAATAAATTCACCCATTCCAAATAATACACATCAACATACATGTCAAACACAATCAATAACATTAACAATCAAATTTCTACATATGTTGTTTTTTAGCTTTTATCTATAAATAGATCATGTTTAACTTGCCACACAATCATTGCACCTGTAATTATGATGTTTATGTGTAAAAGCAATGTTTTGGAAATGGCATTTTCCATAAATAGGGTACAAAATATCTGCAACTCCAATTTTAAGATAAGTTTTTAGCAGGGTTGCAAATAAAGTAAGCTGTCACTCAATAAGATAACTGTTTGATTTTTTTATCTATTCATAATTGGGAAAACATTATTTACTTCAAAATTATCTTGTTTTATTTATTTGGTAATGGGGAAATACGTTTTATTAAGGTTAATAAAGAAATTAATAACTGACTTTTTTTATTATAATAAAACAAACCTTTAAAAACGTCAACGTTCATCTTTTGAAATGATGACACTTTTCTGTGATTTTAACTGTTAGTCAAGAAGTCCAAGTCCTCTTAGGTGGAACAGGTCAAAATCACCATAAAAAAAAAAAAAACTTCATATAACTCAAACAAATATACAGTGGGCATAGAGAATAATCACCCCGCTTTAAAATAATCACATTTTGTTGCTTTGCAGCCTGAAATGAAGATGGACAGTTTTTGTTTTATCCAGCTGTATTTACTTATACTTATATTAACTTATAACATCCAAGTGAAAGATATAACACCAACATGTCAGAATAAACAAACAAACAGACACACACACACACAGAGTTGGAAAAAACACCTTTTGCTTTAATTACAGCCTTTAGTCTGTTGGGATTTGCCTCAGTCTTTACTAACTTTGCACATCTAGACTTTGCAATATCTGCTCACTCTTTTTTGCAGAATTGCTCAAGTTCAGTTAAATTTGATGACCGTTTGTGGACTGCAGTCTTCAAGTCATTCCACAGATTTTCCGTGGGGTTTAAGTCTGGGCTCTGACTAGGCCATGAAAGGACATTCAGCTTATTCTCCTTCAAAAACTGTGTGGTCAGTTCTGCTGTGTGCTTTGGGTCATTGTCATGTTGGAAGGCAAACCTTCTTCCCATTGACAACTTTCTGGCAGAGGGCAGCAGATTTTCCTCACAAATTTGACGGTATTTTGCCCCATCAGTTTTTCCTTCTATCCTGACAAGGGCTCCAGTCCATGCTGCAGTGAAACACCCCATAACAGGATATTACCACCTCCATGCTTTACTGGAGGAATGCTGTTATTTGGATGGCCACATTTGTGGAGAATTTGTGATGTTGTCACATGCACACAATGACCACTATTTGTTATAAATTCCTGCAACTGCTTCAGAGTTGCTGTGGCCTCTTGGTCGCCTCTCTGACCAGTTTCCTCCTGGCTCTTTCATCCAGTTTGGAGCAACGTCCTGATCCAGGGAGGGTCTGTGTTGTATCAAATACCTTCCACTTCTTAATAACAGACTTCACTCTGCTTCTAGGTATTGATAAAGCCTTTGAAATCTTTTTGGATCCATCTCCTGACTTGTGCCTGTCCACAACTTTATCCCGGAGATCTTTTGACAGTGCCTTGCCACCCATAGTTGATTGTTTGCAACAGTTGCACTACCAAGGATTGAAATGCTCCAGGAAAGCTCTTGTCATGTTGAGCAGATCAAAATGACCACAGTCAAATGGCTTTGTGTGCCATTGAGAAGGTGATTAGCTACACCTGATTGAGTTTACAAGTAATTTTAGGAGGGGCGTTATCGTTTTTTTCCAAATCAGTGATTCTGTTTGTTTATTTATTTATTTATTTTCTGACATGTTGATGTTATAGCTTTCACTTGGATGTTATAAGTTGCACTGAGTAAATATAGTTGGAAAAAAACAAAAGCTCTGTCCGTCTTCATTTCAGGCTGCAAAAAATCTAAATGTAATTATTTTAAAGGCGGATGATTATTTTCTATACACACTGTACAGTATCTAATAAGTCAAGAGACAACATGGGATTTGTGCGTCTAAGGCTTTTAAAAAATGTCATGGGACAGCAAAGCATACCCTATTTGTGGAATGTGCCAGATGCTTGTGCAAACTGATGATTTTTTTGTGCTAATTGTGTTTATCATGCTTACGAAAATTGTCATGCAATGATTGTACATGTTTTGGAGATGTTATGTGCTGTAAGCTAGCAAATTATACATTTTGAACACTCATGTATAGTCATGGTCCTGCCTAATTTTCTGCTGTTCTACCTACACTGGATAGTAAAAACAGCATAAACTTTTCAAACTCAATAGGAGCAAATTGGCACAATGAGAAGGCACACACACAAACACACATACACACATTATGTTTCTACATCCACTTGAGAGGATGTTGAGGGCAGTGATTTCTCAAGAAACTGTCAAAACGTATAAACACCATAAGGGTAAAAACACTTTGGCAGTTATAAGGAGGACTTTGTATAATTTAAAATTAATCTCTTTAGAAAATTCTCAGCAGAAATACTGGATGGCTAATATTATTAGTGCTAATATTGGCAGTAGTTGAAGAAAAAATACATTACTTGACTTTGAAAAAACGTGGTCCAAATGAAGAGTTCTGCAGGAAGTTGTTATAACCTTAACCTGTCATACTGAGTTGAAGAGGCAGTTTGAAACCGGTAACTGGACACCATGGCACTGTGGTGGAGATCTTCCTAACATGACATGTTTGACTGCTACACGAGAAAACCGAGGAATGTTGAATGAGAGTTATAGGATGAAGAGTCAAACACGTTTTACATATCTTCAGGCAGGAGGCATACATTTCTGAAAGGTAAAAATAAAGACAATGAAAAAATGTGAGATAATGTTCAGCATATTAAATATTAACATATATTTAATATTTTTGTGGTTATTTTGTAGGTAAAATACCATTAGAGTTGGTAAATATGATTAATTTTATATATTTTTTTGTTTTATTTAATTACATTTTTTTAATAAAGATTGATTCATTTGCCAGAACCTTTGTAGGAACAATTTCAAGAAAGTTAGAAAATTAGTTTAATTTCTGTGAATTAGGTTTTTCTGATTTTCCAAACACTGATTTACTTGCCTAATGACTTTTAAAAATGCTTAAAATCCCTGCAAATTTACATACATTAAAAGTTTTGGTAAACACATATAAATGGGTAAATATTGCTATAGAGTTTCTTTAGTTAATTTAGTGAAGGACCATCGGAAAAACATTCCTTATTTATTTATTTATTTTTATTTTTATACAACATTTTTACTGGATATTTAATTTAATTTTGTCAAACTGATTATTATTAATGAAAATCATTTTAAGACATTTTAGAGTAAAAACATCTCTAAGTTAAATATGTAACCCTAGCTCCCCGAGGGAACGAGATGCTGCGTTGAACGCTTTGGGAACGCCTTCAGCGAGACCATGCGCTGAAACATGTGTGTAATCAGTCCAATGAATGGGCGCGACATCACGGACGGGGTGACGTAGTGACCAGGGGTCTCATTTATAAAACTCTCCGTAGATTTCATCCTAAAAGTGTATGTATGCACAAAAGCTAGATTTTGCATACGCACAAAACTTTTCAGATTTATAAAACCATGCGTACGCTAGAACCTGCGCAAAAATCCCTTTATAAACCCCAGTCAGGGGATGATTGTGCGTACGTGCATCTCCACCCCGACTCCTTCCCGAAATCACCATATATGGAGCTTACAATGCCTAGTTTTACTATGCATAACCTCATCTGCATATCATTTCCATGCATATTCCCATCCACGTGACACCAAATTTAACACTGTTAAAGGTACAAGACATTAAGGAAATATGAGATATGCACTATAAATGCCATTTGTGCCATACACAATTTTTATTGCTAAAAATCATCCAGTATCCTTGTTATGTTTTAGCATAAATATATCAAAATCCATAAAAAAAACTGTTTAAAGATCTTTTAGCTATTTTTAGCCTATATTTATTGCAGTGTAAATATAATTGTCTGACTCACTGACAAAGTAGCCTATTTTAAAAAGAAAACATGCAAATTACCATTTTCTTCAAGCTGAATCCTTCAAATACAGTGGTATTTTTGTGGAAATACCTTCACACGGCATCAACACTTCTGTGCAGCTGTGGTTGTACAGTAAGCTATTATCATTGGACCTATTCAAGCCGGACAATGGACCGTTCGACCACTCAATCCAGCAGTGTCTGCCATAATATCGAAGTAAGTGCACGTCATTGATCATTGTTCTCACTAAAATATTTTCTCATAACATGAGATCTACAGTTTAGTTTAAAGATGAATTATTGTGCACCTATAGGACTCCTCACTGTCATTCAAACAGCATGCCACAGGAAAAGTGATCAAGCGCATCCACTAAATTCATATAATTTTTTGTTTAACTTCTGCGTAAAAACTTTATGTAATTTCAATGCTTATCTCCATTAATGAGAGTGGAATATTTAATGTAAATGTGTATTTCGAAATGAAAACAGATTTTAAAATTGTTGTTTACTTCATTACTGTTCTCACTCCAGGAAAAAGAGTGGGTGCGCATGGTCTAGAATGTCCGTATGGTGCGTATATATTTACGGCAAGTTTATTTTGTATAAATCCCGATATGTGCGTGGAAAATTGCGTATACAATTTCTATGCCCATTTTGTGCATACGCAACGTTTATAAATGAGACCCCAGGAAGCTATAAAAGCATGTGCGGTGGAAACAGCGGCAGCTTTTGGTAGAATGAAGGAAGCGCTCACAGGGATGCCGGAAGCATGGCAGGAGATACAGTGTTTCGTTCCCTCGGGGATCTAGGGTTACATACATAACCTAGAGACGTTCCCCTTCAGGAACTCGAGCTGCGTAGGTGAGTGGCGTAGACCAACCTGCCGCGTTGCAAATATCCTGCATAGCCACACCCGACAGGAAGGCCTTGGAGGTTGCCACACTTCGGGTGCAGTGAGCCTTGAACCCCAATGGCGAGGGGATACCATATGACATAGAAATGGCATCAACGATCCACTGACTGAGGGTCTGCTTAGAGGCAGGCAGACCCCTCTTGGAAGGACCATAGCAAATAAAAAGTTGGTCAGACTTCCTCCACATGGCAGCTCTGTGGACATATGCGTCCAGTGCTCACACTGGACACATACAGTTAAGCTTCTGCTGGTCAGGCTCCTGAAAGGGAGGAGGACAGAAAGTCTGTAGTACGAGGGGGCGTAGCACTGAGGAGGGCACTTTAGGGACGTACCCCGGCCTGGGGTACGGAAAAGCTTTGGCCAAGCCAGGGCACAAAGTCTAGGAAGCTCTGGTTTGGAGGATGGTCTCAACAACCTCGGTTGAGAGACCGGGAGCTACGAGTTGTGCCCCCTCAGGGGCCACACCCACAGCTTCCACAGCTCTGGGCGGGGGTGAAAGATCGTACCCTCCACCTGTGAGAGGAGATCCCTCCTGACGGGAATCTTCCATGGAGAGCTGTCGAGAAGGGAAATCAGGTCTGAGAACCATACTCGGCCCGGCCAGAACGGGGCTACTAGCAAAAGACAGACCCCGTTCTGGCACACTCTCTCCAGAACTCCCGGGAGCAGAGCAATCGGGGGGAAGGCATACAGACAAAGCCTCGGCCAAGGTCGAGGGGACAGTGCAATGTCTCCTGAGTTGCAAACAGATCCACCTGAGCCTGGCCAAACATTTTCCAAATCTGACACACCACATCTGGGTGGAGTCTCCATTCCCCGGGCCTCGGCCCCTGCCTTGACAGGTTGTCTGCTCCCTGATTGAGATGCCCAGGGATGTGAACTGCTCTCCGTGAAAGGAGTTTCCCTTGGGCCCACAGAAGGATCTGGTGCGCCAGCTTGTTCAAGGGGCGCGAACGCAGACCTCCCTGGTGGTTGATGTACGAGACCACCGCTGTGTTGTCGGTGCGCACCAACACATGTCAGTCTCTCAGGTCTGGGAGAAAGTCTTTGAGTGCTCGAAACATGGCCAACATTTCCAGGCAATTGATGTGCCACGTGAGATGGCGGCCGCTCCACAGACTGCAGGCAGGGTGGCCACTCATGACCGCACCCCAACCGGTGAGGGACGCATCTGTCATTAACATTACACGACGACAAGGAACTCCCAGCACCGGGCCCTGTGACAGGAACCAAGGTTTCCTCCACATGTCAAGCATCGTTGAAGAAACCTCTCACTCGGAGCGTGCTTCCGAACCCTGGGAGATGGCGGTGGATCTGGTGGTCGAGGGATCCACCTGCGATCCCCACGACGGCAGCCGCCACTCTGCCTCGGCAGCAGTGGGGCCTGAGCCGCGAGGAACGCTGATGAGGGCTCCCTCCTCAAAGAGAGCCCTCCGGGAGCAAGCGTCCGCAGCGAGAGGTGCTTGCAATGTGGACCGTCAGCACCCTCGAGAGAAAAACATGCCCCAAGCAAACAACGCAAAGGCTGTGTGTATCCCCGCCCGTGATGTAATGAGGGCAGGGAGGATCACACAGCCTAAACTGCTGTTTGCATTTATTACAGCCCTTAGACTTTTCTTTTGCCTTTGGCATTGCTGACTTCGCTGAATGAGAGAAGCTGCCACTGTTTCCACCGCACATGCTTTTATAGCTTCCAGGTCACTACGTCGCGCCCATTCATTGGACTGATTACACATACTGTATGTTTCAGAGTATGGTCTCGCTGAAGGTGTTCCCAAAGTGTTCGATGCAGCTCGAGTTCCTGAAGGGGAACATAAATATTGATATATAATGTATATCAAAAAATCATCAAAGGCTGTGAAATACTGAACTGTTTTTTTTTTCACTTGGCATTCAAAAGCCTTTTTGCAAGTGCAGGTAATTTGCAGTTATGCAAATGTAAAAAAAACTGATACAACCACCACAACAACGACACCACAGAACCTAACCATATAAATGAAGACTACAAACAGACTGATAGTAATCAGGAAATTTAGGTCCAGAATTAAAAAAAATAAAAATAAAGGACAGACTAGATGGAGAACTTGAAAGGGCTGCTGTCAACCACAGTCACATGACCGCCAAAACACATTTGCTAGCATTCATTTTTACCAGAATGTGTAGGATGGAGCTCCACCATCTGTTAGGCCTCCAGGGCTAAGATGGCAGGTTAGGGCTGTCTGTTTCAGGATCAAAGTAAGCAGTTTGTTTATACAGAAGAAAATCTTTATTACGAGGAAAAATGAAGAATTTCTTACTTTGTTACTTCTTCTGTGCCTCCTTCTCCATCTGCTTTACCCTCTTCTTCCATCTTCTGCTCATCTGAGATCAGCTCCTGGTTCTTATGTCTGCGAATACATTTCACCACCACCATGGACAGAATGAGCAAAGCTAGAATTCCCCCCACAGATGCCCCGATGGCGACAGCAATAGTTGAATCCCTTGGTGGCGGTACTGGGCAGAGGAAGACAAAAAATTAGCAATGTTAACAACAAAATAAACCAGAGTAGCATATTGCTTCTGCAAAAAAAGTGTATTCTTAAAAAAAAATGTGTAAAAAATAGTACATGTATATGTATTAAGATATTTCTGAGCCCAGACTGAGGTGTTACGGCATCTACCACTATTGGCTAACTGGCCTAATTTTGGGGACGTTTATATGACAACAACAACGCTAAAAATGGAAAGTTTTTTTCCTTGTGATGAAGCTTTGAAGCATGAATAAATGTATTTTTTTTTTAACATCTAATAGTAAAGCACTGTACCAGAGCTTGATTTGTTTTGCCATAACCACGTGATCTGTGACATCCAAAGCATTGTTTTTCCCACACAATCACGTGACAGCTTCATATTCTGATTCAAATAACGTGAACCCCTTGCACAGGTTTCAAGTGTAATTCACTTCTTTGATAAGAATAAATCATAATACGGATAAATATTTACATGTGTAATTTTGTGCATGTTCAGTTTGTATTAATCCCCGCTTCACAAGCACGTCAACTGACCATTCCACAATAATCTTCATTTATCATGATCATATATGCCTACATGAGCCATGCTTATTTTTTTATAAATTTATTCACACTCATTTATTCATACTTTTTGAAAGTGCAATAACATTCACATGTTTTTATTTATATGGTTTTTATTTGGTTTTCGTAGCACAAATTGATAAATTTTTATGAAACAGTCCAAAAATGGCTGTGACCTCTGGGACACAAAGAGTCACTAGTTTTTCCTTCACGTTTTTGAAAAGTTTTGCATACAGACAACAATGCTGTCAGAACAAACCCTTTTCAAATGTATTCACGAAAATGATGAAACAAAACAAAAAAAACACTGTATTATGCATGACGGGCTAGTAGTTGGCGATGTCACTTTGTAAAAATAAAATCTCGGTGCCTGCACACATATGGTTTCCTTAGGTACATACTCACGCACACCCGTGACTGAACATGTAATACGCATATGAATGATGTCACAGTTTTCACAAAATCACCTTTTTTTGTAGTTTACGACAATAACAGTATCATTTTCAAACACTTGCACTTTGAAACCTGTTTTCAAAAGTTTGCATTTCCAAGCCCCCAAAACACTGTTGTCGTGTAAATGAACGGCCAAAACACACAAAAATGTAGTTTTCCTTCAGGAACTCGAGCTGCGTCGGAAAACGCTATGGGAATGCCTTCAGCGTGACCGTGCTCTGAATCACGTGTGTAATCATTCCAATGGATGGGCGAGTCTAATCTCTGTTGTTAGTCTTATTTGGTGTTGTTTGTCCGCTATAAGCTACAGTATGTCTAAAGCTGAGTCAAAGACAAAATATTTGGGCGAGAGCAGACAGCGTTATAGGCTGTGTGTTCCTCCCTGCCCTACATTACGGGTGGGGATACACACAGTCTGTGCGTTGTCTGCTTGGGAGCGAGGCACGCAGAGTCGGCTCTCGAGGGCGCAGCCCTCATGGATGCCCCGCTTGCGCCTTCTGGCCTGTTCAGCGACGCCGTCAATTCCGTCGTCGACAGGTACCAGGAGGCTCGTAAACAAGCTGCGGCATTTCAGCGGTTCCTTCCTCGCTGCTCTCTAGTTCCGGGGGCTGCCGGGTGGGAGCAGCCCCCTCCGTGTACCAGCTCCTCATACCGGGAGGCTCAAAAGCAGACCGTTGCCTCCCGTACTCCCCCGAGTCGGGACCAAGGTCGCTCTGGGTCAAAGCCTTCAAAGTCTAAGCCAGATCTGTGGACCGTACTTAAGACTTAGAAGTCTTAAGTTTCCAGCGTGGAAACTACTGCCAAATGTGTCTCAGTGGGTCCTGCACACTGTAGAGAGAGGCTACCGAATCCAGTTCGGTTCTCCTCCGCCTCGTTTCAATGGGGTCACACATCTCCATCCTTCCTCATCACAGGAAGTTCTTGAGCTTTGCTTTCAGGGGCAAAGCTTACCAATACTGGGTTCTTCCTTTCGGCCTTACACTCTCACCAATTATATTAACAATTGGTTGATATTAGCTCAGTCGGAGCAGGTGGCGGTTTGGCATCGAGATGTCGTTCTCGCCCACATAAGAGAGCTGGGATTGAGGCTAAACGCTAATAAAAGTGTGCTTTCTCCATTACAGAGAACCACTTATCTAGGCATGGTGTGAGATTCGACCACGATGCAGGCACGTCTGTCCCCTGCTCGGATCGAGACAATCCTCACTGCAGTCGCGAGTGTGAAAGAAGGCCGGTCACACACTGCCAAGCAGTTTCAAAAACTGCTGGGTCTGATGGCAGCTGCGTCCAACGTGATACCTTTTGGCCTGCTGTACATGAGACCCCTACAGTGGTGGCTCAAGATCAAGGGGTTCTCCCCGAGGGGAAACCCACTACACATGTTCAAGGTCACGCGGCACTGCCTACATGCCTTAGACATGTGGAGGAAACCTTGGTTCTTGTCTCAGGGCCCGGTGCTGGGAGCTCCTTGTCGCCGCGTAATGCTAGCCGAGTCCCGGGAAATGGGAGGCTTCACCCAGATGCGATGAAGCAGATATGGAGAGTTTTTGACCAGGCTCAGGTGCAAGGTTATTTTCGTAAACGAAAACTAAAACTAAGACGAAAACGATTGATGAGAAAACAATTTCGTAAACTGAAATAAAATAAAAATGGCAAAATAATTCAAAAACTAAAACGAAATGAAACTAACAACAGTTTATTGAAAAACTAACTGAAATAAAATAATAATTATCAAAAATAAATAATCGTTTTACTAATCATTACGCTCTCACCCCTTGCCGGAAAAATATATGAGCTGTGTGGCGCCGGCGGTTTAGGGAAATACCTGTAAATGGCGCATCGCGCACGTAAGGTTATCTGACGGAGAGACGCAAAGCAGTTTAAAGCAGAGTCCTGCACGGCTCCTGTTTGGTAAACACGCACCAGCAGTACTTAACAGAACACTCGACCTGTTATCTGACAGCAGCACTCATTTAATTCTGTAACCAGACCAGACACGTTTGACATAAAGACCGCGAGTCGTGACCCGAACCGCACCCACATTAAATCTATTACATCAGGTAGGCAAAATTATTTATTTTCTCATGTAACACAAGCAATCAAACCAAAATTAGGCATTCTAAGTTGGTGCTTTGAAGAAAAACAGGCACGCAGCGCAATGTAATAATTAACAGAAAAAAAGACGAGAACGTGCATCCTTTCTGAAAACAATACAAAACTTTAGCATAGCATCTTGTGATCACTCTGCCAGGCTTTCGGACAATTGTGCATAGGCTATAGGCTAAATTAAACACGCTTATAATTATTAATAAATGAAAAGAACATATTCAAATATGAGCCTTTACTGTTTACTGTGACTGCCGTTATTATTGAATTTCATTAGTCCCAGTTATGATTTATGCGCAGTTGTTCACGGAAAAGTGAGCAAGACACGACAGTTACAATATATTATGATTGTTAAAAAAGAAAAAAGACATCTAACCATCATAACCAAATTAGGCTACATTTATTGTCATATTAAATATCTCAATACACATCATTAGATATGACATTAAGCACAACTTGTGTAGATTTATTTAGTAAAAAGGCTTGACTGCTTCATTTTGGCGTATATTTGTATACTTTTAC